CTCCTCCCGCGCGCGGCCCGTCTCCCCCTGCCGCTCCCTCTGCGAGGTGGTGCGTGACTCCTGCGCCCCGGTCATGGAGTCCTACGGCTTCCCCTGGCCCGAGATGCTGCACTGCAGCAAGTTCCCCTCCGACCACGAACTCTGCATCGCCGTCCAGTTTGGGAACAGCAAGGCCACCCCGCCACCAGGTAAGCGAGGGCACAGCAGCGGGATGGGGACACACGCAGGGCACCTGCCAGCAGCCTCTCCCCGTGCAGCCAGGGGCCTGCATGCAGGGTCCTGCTAGGGAGCCCCTGCACCCCCACCTCTGCACCCCTGAAGTAGGGCCCGGGGTGCTGGAGCTGACCAAGGACCCCCTGCCTGCAGCAGGGCATCAATGCACAGAGTACCCGCAGCATCATCTGCTGTGGCTGGGCACCCCTTGCTGTCCCAGGAGCCAGGCACCCAGCTGCCTGCACAGAGCTGCCCAGGGCAGGGCATAACAGCCACAGGAGCAGTGCTGGGGTGAATGTGGAACAAGATGGAAGCTACTGGGGGACCTGTGGCAGAGTTGTGTGCCTTGCCTCCCACTAGGTCCCATTCCAGCAGCAAAGAGCATCCTGTACCTGTGGGTATTGACAAAGTGTGGCTGTCCCCTCAGGCAGGGAGAGACAGCACCCAAAAAGCAGCCCAGAGTCGGGATCAGAGCTGTGACATCCTTCAGGCTGGGACCACTCTCACTGCTGCTGCTGTGCCCCAAAGCATCAACAGCTGGACAAGGGGGGGTCCCCATACCCCATCCCTCCTGAAGGGGGTGCTGGGAGAGGCTGCTGGGGCTCTCCCAGCCCCGTGGTGCTGTGCTGGGTGACAGGCATCAGCAGCAGGGAGCTGTGACAGTTGCTGGTCTCTCACCACAGTGTCCAAGATCTGCACCCAGTGCGAGATGGAGCACAAGGCAGATGGCATGATGGAGCAGATGTGCTCCAGTGACTTTGGTGAGTGTTGGAGTCCCCTTCGCGGTCCCCCCTGGGCAAGGGGCTGCCCTTGCCCAGCTCTGACAGCCCAGGCAGCTGTTGTCCAGAGGGCACAGTTTTTCAGGCACAGCCCCATGGGAGACACCCCCCCTAAGCCATTCCCTTGGACCCTGTGTGCATGGGATGGATGCACCACAGGAGAAGACAGCGGTGGGGGAATAGGCAGAATGGAACATTTGGGAGGGTCACTAGGGGC